GAGTCAGTGACAGAACCCAGGAGTCCCTCCTGCCGCCCTGTCTCTGCTCCTTCTGGAGTCAGGACAAAACTGGGCGTCTTGTCTCCCAATCTCTGTCCTAGCCATGGTGACCCACCCTCCACCTTTCTTTCCCCCCCCGTGGGGAGGCTGATTTTCATTTGTCTCATATAACTGAGGAGTCAGATGAGTTTTGTTCCTGGCTGTGCTGGGTGATGTAGGGCAAAGCATGTCCCCTCTCTCTGTGCATCGGTTTCCCCTTCTGTAAAATGGGTGTAATGACACCACCCTCCCTTGACAGACACTCTTCCATATAGTAATGCATATGAAACTTAGGTATTATTGTGAAGCTTGACAAATCCAAATCAGAGATAGAGTGCACATTTTAACAGATTGACTGGAATAGCTGTGGAGTATTTTCCATCACTTGGAGTCTTTTCATTAAGGCTAGATCTCTTTTTAAACAACCTGTTCAAGTGTAAACAGAGATTATTAGTTTGTTGCAGAAGTTACTTACTGTGTGAAGATCTCTGGTCTGTTGCTAGTCAGACTAGATGATTCTGAAGATCTCTTCTGGTCTTAAAAGCTAATTTGAACTAGTTTTTTAGTCTGGATCCGTTAGTTCGAATTAGCTTAGTTCCCAAACTTTTTGGCATCGCGCTCCCCTTTTGATTTTTGAGAAACCCTCATGCCTCCCCACCTCTTCTTTACCATCATCCAACCCCCCTTTTAACAAAAAAAATAATTCCTAATTTCCAATTAAAAATAAACACAAAAACTTGGTATAAAAATATTTAAAATTAAAAATACGCACAAATAGTTTTTCTTGGCTCAAAAATTTAATAAATATGTAATTTAACATAAGAAATAGCAGAAACAAATCGAATTTAATGTGAAGGATGATGATGCATTTTCTTCACGAGCTGGGAAATCCTAGGTTTGAAATGACGGAAAGAGGGTTTGGGGTGTGGGAAGGGATAAAAGGTGAAAGCTCTGTGAGGGAATTTGGGTGCAGGAGGGGGTGGAGAGGGGGCTGCTGGCTCAGGGAGGGGGCTCCAGGCTGGAGAGTGTTGGGGTCAAGTGGAGGGTTGGGGTTCTTAGCAAACCACAGGCGTGGGGACATGAGGGTGCAGGAGTTCAGGTTGGGGTGTATGTGGGGCTCATGGCAGGAGGCTTGGGAGTATGATGGGCACAGGACACCGATTGGCAGTGTATGGATTGTGCAGTAGTGATGTGGCAGAAGACTGAGGATGTGAGAGGCTCAGGACAGGGGGTTCCAGTGTATGAGAGGCTCAGGGTTGGGGAGGGTAGGTAGAACTGAGGTTCAAGCCTCAGGCCAGATTAACTCTTCTGGGGTTCCAGAGTAAGTGGAATTTGTGGGCCCCTCTACACTCTGAGGTGGGGCCAAAAATGAGGGTTCCAGTGTGCAGAACAGGGGATCCAGGGTGCCAGTGAGTGGGATAGGGATGGAGTGCAAAATCTGGGTGGAAAATAGGGTGCAGGAGCAAGCTGGGATGGGTGTCTGGCAAGGAGGGAAGGGGCAGGAGCAGGTTGCTGATGGGTGTCTGGCTCTGAGGCAGAGGCAGGGTGCTGGTGGTGTCTGGCCAGGGTGCTCGATGGGGTCTGGCCAGGGGGCAGGGTGCTGGTGGGGCCCTGAGCAGGGTGCTGGTGGGGCCTTGAGCAGGGGGCAGGTGGGGTGCTTCAGGCCAGATTAACTCTTCTGGGGTTCCAGAGTAAGTGGAATTTGTGGGCCCCTCTACACTCTGAGGTGGGGCCAAAAATGAGGGTTCCAGTGTGCAGAACAGGGGATCCAGGGTGCCAGTGAGTGGGATAGGGATGGAGTGCAAAATCTGGGTGGAAAATAGGGTGCAGGAGCAAGCTGGGATGGGTGTCTGGCAAGGAGGGAAGGGGCAGGAGCAGGTTGCTGATGGGTGTCTGGCTCTGAGGCAGAGGCAGGGTGCTGGTGGTGTCTGGCCAGGGTGCTCGATGGGGTCTGGCCAGGGGGCAGGGTGCTGGTGGGGCCCTGAGCAGGGTGCTGGTGGGGCCTTGAGCAGGGGGCAGGTGGGGTCCTGGGCAGGGTACTCATGGGGGTCTGGGCAGGGTACTTGTGAGAGTCTGGGTAGGGGGGCAGGGTACTTGTGGGGGTCTGGGCGAAGGGAGGGGACAGCTAGGCTGGTACCTGGGATTCCCACAGCTGCGAGCCAGGTCCAGGGTCTCAGGAAACACGTGCACTGCTTCCCCTCCCCAAACAGCTGGCATGCTTCCTGAAAAGTCAGATCTGTTGTGTACCAGCGATTTCCTTCTGCCTGCTGCCTTCCTGTGCAGGGGGGGGAGGGAGGGAGTGGGAGTCCCGGGTATGCACCAGCTCCAACTGCTCAGGCAGTGCACAGGGAGTGAGGAGCAAGGCACGTGCATTTTCCTTTCAAAAAGCAGCGTAGATTTAAGTTTTAAATACGACAGTGATTTGAATGCCCCGGAAATTTCATCAGAGATTCAGAGTTTTAAATATCAGGCGTTAGTGCTGTTGCCAAACATTTCATCTGCGACTAGTTTGGACTGTCTACAGTTAATTCATTAAAATAATCTGGCTGAATCTTATCCAAATTTGGAAATTGCCCTATGAATATTTCTCTGCTTGCCAGTGACTATGGCTTCTTGTGAAAGAAGTTTTAGTAAACTAAAATTAATTATTGCTATTTATGTAGTTTCCCTTTTTCCATGAAATAACTACTATGAATATATAAACATGAGGGGGCACAATTTTATATTCTTGCCTCAGATGCAAAATTAGCTAGTTATGGCCCTGCAATACTCACACCCGCCTTCTTACTCTCTGAAAGTTCCCCAGCACCCTGTGTTGCTAGGCTAGCTCCCCTGGTCTTCCCCAGACAAGGCACAGGGGGTAACCACTAAGGATGTTAAATTGCGGTTAATTTACTAGGCGAGTAGTTGGTGGAATTTCCTTCGACTACTTGGCTA